TGTCTGCTGGACCCAGTTCTGGACGGCAGTCTGGGAGGCAGCTTCTGCGGTCCTTATTATCATCATTCTGCTGAAGGTACCTGCTAACAAGACTTGCTAATGCTGCTAACAACACCACCCCACTAACCGAACCACGCCGCTCACAGTACCATGGTGCCAACGGGACCATGTTGGTGCCAACGGGACCATGTTGGTGCCAACGGGACCATGTTTCTAAGAGGAACCTCACTACCTCACTGCTAACAGAACCTCACTTCTAACAGTATCAAGCTGCTAACTTGACCATGTTGCTAAGATAACCTCACTGACATAAGAACCACTCTGCCAATAGGACCATGCTGCTGTAGATTTATTTCTTTTTCACTTTTAGCGCCTTGTTTCTGTATTATTGTTGCATGCTCTGAATAAATACCAGTTTACGTTAGTTTAGTTTATGTTAGTGCTCGTGTAAACTATAGCCAAACAGAACCCAAGAGAATCATGCTGCTGTTGTTTGGTGTATTGTTTTAGTGACTAGCATATATCTTAGATCTTTTTGTGTATTGTTTGGTGTTCGTTTAGCGTATATCAGTTTATATCTAAGATCTTTATATCTTTTTACACTTTATATTTTTGCTACTGTTTGATGTAACTGGGACCGTGTGTATATAATTTTGTTCCACTACATGTACCACATGTGATACGAATGACAACAAAGAATCTCTGACTCTGACTCTTTGATATACGCTTACTTAACCAACTGGACACTTGGCAAACTCATCTGTGACTCCAGGTTATGTCACAAATACTACAACAGATCCCATTTTCCAAAAGTGAAAGTCAAGCCAATACCATTTTATGTTTAGATTTTTTAAAATATTTTAATTTTGAGCATGGCTTGAACATTTTTGTAGCTAATCCACTGGAACCATTTGTATTAACTGATCTTTTTTGTATTGAAGATATCTCCAGTAGAGGTGAAAACACTTCACGTTTCATAAATCCCTCATTATCGCTGATTACATGCAATTATTACTGATCACACCACAACATGAATCAACAGACATGCACATCCACATGTGCACACAGCTGTTTTAAGGGTTTATTAAAATTTCATCCAATTTATATTTTAACTGTACAGATGGCGGTGACTGACTATCCTAAACTAAAGTTTTTATAATGGAATTTGAGTGGACTTTTTTATGGTTTGCTGTAAAAGCTCTTGCTGTGTTTCATCTGCTTTAGGAAACAAACACAATTGTGTTGAATCCTCTCTAAGCATGCATATGTTTTTTGATGTGTTATCATAGAAAACCCATTTTTAATGCACAGTAGCTGACAGGACGTGTGTACCGCTAATGATTTCTCTGAGTGACTGAAATCTAATCAGCAGTAAATTTCAATCAGGGACCTTTCAGTCACAGTGTCAGCTTGGGCTTTATGTAAAAGGAAAAAAAAATTAAAATACAAACGCACCAGAAGCCTTGAGCAAGAAATGCTAATAAAATGTAGCACATCTCCAGAAAATGCATTTAGTAAAAAACCCATTGTGGCATTTTCTTTGATAGTTACTGGATGGTTTGAATTACATCAAATTAACTTGTAAGATGTTATTTTAGTCTCAGCTCTGCTTTTTGAAATAATAATTTAACGGAGCTGAGAGGAAAAATCTGTTCTAGTTTTTGTGCAAAACTTCAGTAATAGTTCTATTATAATAAATACATTTTAATCTACATAAATATGCATGTTCATTATTTTTATTTTGCTCTATTTTAATCTACATAAATATGCATGTTCATTATTTTTATTTTGCTCTACATTTTTAAGATGAAGTTATAACATCAAAAAGGTATTTAACATTGCATGGCATGTCTACAGGTAGTGATCAAGAAGACATAGCTTCACTCCCTTTGTTGACAGACTCACATTGACTTTTTATCCCAATGCTTGTGCATCATTAACTTTCTAATCCACATCTTTTTGCTATTCTAACATAATCATTACACTTTCCTTTTTCTGTTTGAAAGAGCAGATCAATAAAACTGAGAAAGGGGATGTTTTTTTTGTTTTTTTTTCATATAATTGTCAGCCCAGCCTGCCTTCTGAGTGAAAAAATATTACCTTTCATTTCATTCCTCAAACTATGTGATGTTTGATGCTGATCTCCACTAATGGAAAGTTGCATGAGCGAAAAGTGTTCATTGGACTTTTCAGTAATTTTTTTCTTGAAATGCCAGCGTACAGTCGATGTGTGTTGGAGTGCTGCAGACGCCCATGCAGTCTGGCTGTGATTAAGGCTTGTACTAAGGGTATCTGATATATATATATAACTACGCGTCCAGCAGCAGTCCCTGCCTCGTTCATGAACTCTCTTGGATCTAATGACATAGCCAGGGGTTACACTTCATAATGGTTAAAAGCCTCACTCTGCAAATGCCATTCAGAGTAGGAGGACTGGGTGAAAGAAAAATGCAGATGTTAAATGTAGTGCATATTAAGAGTTCCTGTTTCCTGAGTAGGCCAAATTCAGGACCCCCTCTTGTTTTCTGAAGATGTTTCTCTTCAACATCTCCAAATCTTGAATTGTGATTAGACAAAGAAAAAAATGGAGTTGTGATCTTCCACTTCACTGATATCTCCAAGAGATAACCCCCCCCCCCCCCCCCCCCCCAACGCCCTCCCGACACATACAAGCAAGCAGCGAGAGAGAAATAGGATACTTGCCATCTTCTCATCAAAGGATGCTCCAGATTTTTACCGAGGTCACAGATGCCTTGAGCAGCACCCTGCTCCGGGATACACTGTGACACATGGGCGGGGGGGGACATGCTTCACCTTGAGCCTGCATCAAACCAGCTCACACAGTAACACCACCAGTCCTCACAGGCAAACATTTGTAGTCTCCATACTTTAAGCAAGCTGTCACTTTTTTATTCATTTTCAACTGAGGCACTGCCTCCAAACTTGTATTTGTCCGTTATAATCAGCATACCTATTTGTCTTTAAAGCAGACATGAAGCCACGTGAATGCTGGAGGGGGTGTTCATGTGAAGAAACGCAATCTACTGCTGTCTTTTTAATTGGATGAGTCGGTCAAAAGCACAGCTTAAATGTAAACAACACGTGCATCACACGCCAGCGGAGCAGAGGCACGGGAGTACCTGAAAGCAAGAACGCTTTCAGTCGTGGTGGAAATGGGCTTTCTTTCATTTCAAGTAGCTAGAGCATGTAGGGCTGCACTGAAAGGCTTCTCAACACAGAAGTTCCATTAAATGTCAGACACATATTCACTGGCAAAAATTAAAATTAAACTAAATGTTTTTTTTATGATAAATATTTGTATTCAGCGTATTAAAATATGCAGAAACATAAAAGACTGGGGAGACACATTTTTGGGCTGTTTTGCAAAATGTGTGAATCGGATAAAAACAGCATTCGATTATGATTCTTTCGCCGAATGTCATATAATAAACTTCATAACACATAAAGGTTATGCAGCTGTGGAAAAATACAATAAAAAAGATGAATCCAGCTGATAAACATTAAACGAGCCTTCTGTGGTAAACGCCATGCTTGGTGGTGATATATAAGACCCAGGGTTACGGTTAGTGTATATGCAGAAGAGCCTCTTACGTAATTAGCCTCCTGTGAAATTTGATTTGTTTGGGTTAATCTAATTGTAGCCTAATTTCCCTCCTGAAGCAAATATGCGTAGCGCTCCAACGATTGGTGAAGCTCAACTACATGAGCATCTTTCTTGTTACATTTCAGAATCAATTTTAACATCACACAGGTGTTTTAGTCCAGCACACCACTTTACGCTCTCACTCCTCCTCTTGCAGTGACTGTTCTGCCACGGTGACAGGAACCATTCTCTCTGTCAGCCAGAAAAGCCAGAGCGCCTTCTATAGCTGAGTGCTGACTGGACCTGCAGGCGAGTATCACTCATCCGAGCCTGCATGCGTTCGTGGAGCAAAAGTAGACGGGGGAAGACACAGCCAGCCATCTGACAGAAACTTCCATCCAGTGTTCACTTAAGCTTCTGAGCTGAGGTGACCTTCTCAGATTTCATTACATTTGGTCTTTTTGCCTCCCTCTCTCCTTCTATTCCCAGAACAAGTGAGTAATTAGAGCAGAAACATTTCTCTGCACGCCCTGGCTGTACGCGCAGAGCTCCTTTTGTGTCCATCTGCATGCACACATCTTGGTTATAACTGCAAAATGCATCAGTCTTCTAAATGAGGTGCACAACTGAGCCATATTCATACATAAGAGCTTTTTCAGAGGATGTGCCGCCCAAAGATGCTGCATCCCCCTTTTCTCCACAGTGAAACGTCAAATAAATGAAATATTTGTTCACAAACAGAGCTCCGCACAACTGAAACAATCTCAGCTTGACAAAGTGGTGATAATTTGAAACGGCACATATTAAGATTTCCTCTGGCCTTTCTCTGTTCACAGCCAAACAATTACTTCCAGCAGTGCTTAAGCAGAGAGAATGCATCTGTCTGCACTCTTACAGCCAAATGAGACATCAATCTAAAGACTGTGATGATCAATCAGTTGTTAAAGCTTATCTGTTTGATTTTTCTTTTTTCTTGAATTATTTAACACATCCTCCCCAGGCTGACACATCTTGCTGACCTAAATTAAACAGCCAGCTGTAAGACTTTGTCCACCTCATGGTTTAAAGCTGTTACAAAATAAGGAATAACTGAAGGATGCTGTGTGAAAAGTGGCACAGTTGCTAATATTTGTTGTTTCTTTTCAACCCTTATTTAGCATAAGTCCCTTTATGGACGCAGTGTAACAAAACAAAAACAAGTGTTGTAAAACTGAGAGAACAGAAGCTACTAAAACACAAACCTGCTCCAAAGTTACTAAAAATCAGCCAAAAGACTTCATGCGCTCGCGCCTGAGTCAGGTTCCCAACGCCCTTCTGCTCCATGGAGGGTAATTATAAAGGATGACTCTCTTTTCTTTTCTTTTTTTTTTTTTATTATTAGTTCTTCTATCCTTACCGTCGAAGACCTTGAAAAGACGACGGCCACGACATCCTGGATTTCTTCAGCCCGGGTCGGTGGCCCGTGTCCACTGCGTAGGTCCGGTCCATGTTCCTCGGCTTCAGGTACCTCTCGGTGTCCGAAAAGCCTCTTTGTCTCACGCGGTTGTTCTTGCGCACTGCCAGCGCGTGGTGGAGGTGGAGCGGGGAGAGCGTCGCCTGGTTCTGGTTCTGCTGCCTCCACAGATGTTTGGGCGCCTTTGCGCTCGCGCCTGTTCCGCCGCCGGCCCCCAAAGAAGCCGTGCCCACCTTCCCGCAGGCAGGATCCATCCTCCTGGCACGCGTTGGGGAGGGTTTAAATATAGTTTAATTTAATTTACACTTTCGCAGCATCCAATTAGAAGACAAATGTGGCGGTGGAGGGGGCAATGAAAACACTCCTAATTGAGGTGTTTCATTAAATCTAATTGAGGCGACTTTTTTTTTTTTTTTTTTATGTTTCACGTCCAGTTTGGTTCTTTTGAAGGGATGAGTTCAACTCCATTAACTTTACAGTTAAAAATCAAACGTGAAGAAATACATCAATCCATTGGGAAGTGGATCTCAGTAGTGAAAGCGGGCTGAACAGGGCAACGTGCCCCTGAGATGGAGAGTCCGGGCTCCTCGTGCTCCCAGCTTCCTCCATGCGCGCCCATCTTTGCAGGTTGCTGCATCTGCTGCAGATGTTCAGGACAGGACAGGACAGGACAGCAGGCTGCGCTCAGGCTCCCTGCAGCCTGCAAACTTCTGCGCGTGAAGTCATCATCCGAGCAGCTGTGCGTCCTGCAGGAACAAGAGCAGCCGACGGGATATAGGGAACAGAACATCCATTAAACATGAGGGACCCACCCAGAGCACCTCCCCTTCAAAAAAAAAAAAAAAAATGGCTGAGTGTCAGGATGTGAGATTGGGCAGTGAGCCATGCAGGTGACCTGATAATAAGCTATGTTGAGACACTTTATTGAAACAAATATATATATTTTTTTTACTTTTGAAACTAAACATTTAAAGGCCTAGCATTCATTGAAGGAATGCATGTCGCCCGCTGCTTTTCAGCGTTTTAATTCAAGATGGCTGCCAAATGTGGCTTGATGTGTTGAGGATGGCTTGGCTTCAACCACATAACCTTTACTGGTAATCTGTCATTTATTCTTTATGGGTCGACAAAGATAACCCGAGGCGACCATCTTTATTTCGATGTATTTTTTTCCCCCCTAAAAGTTTAATTGAAATCAGTGGTTCATGAGATATTTTGCTAACAGATGAATTGTTCACTGTAACAGGTAATGAAAAAGTTTCAAGCAAACCTTTTTGGACAGTTCTGCTCTAAATGTATGAAACTGAGAAGTCCCATATACCAGCACATCAAATCTTTGGCTCAACAGCTAAAACTGGCAGTTATAGCCATTTTTGTAAATCCACTGGCTTTGGCAGCCATCTTGATTTGGATTGACTTGACAGTGTATTCATGTGCAGATATACACCCTGGGATTGTTTTCTTATTGTTTAATTATAATCAATCCTGTGTTTGATTAGATATTTTGCTAACAAACAGACAGACGTTGACTCCAATGGTTAATGGCAATGTTATCAAAACAGATCACGCTCCAACAGTTAACACGTGCATGTTGGGTATGAGTCTCAGCAACCACCACACCATATGAGCTCATTGGTCAAATTGACCAATTTTGTGTTTTCTAAGTTTGCTAAGTTGTGACGGCCATTTTGAATGGGATTTCCTTGAAAAGTTCATCAGTTTTAGACAATCATCCAATGATTGCTTTCGGGGAGTTTCATTCAAATATGTCCACTGGTCCATCTGATATTTTGCTAACAGTACAAACAAATAAACACAAACAGACATGAGCGAAAACATTATCACTTCATCTTTGCCTTTGGCAGCGAGCGATAAAAAACAATTAGAAGCCCCACATCAAGTGCAGGTCAAAAATAAATAAATGAGCCTCATAGTGATAAATTAAACAGAGTAACTGCAGGATTTGTGCCCATGGGTAAGAGAGTAACACAAACATCCAGCCACCTTGTTAAATCTCACCTCCTGTTCTGTTTGTCATCAATTCCAAATAAAGGGGGCTCATTGGGGAGTGCCACTTTCGTTCTTTCTTTCTTCTAGCCGCTTCTTGTAGCCTACTCACTGTACAGCTCAAACCCATTACTCTGGAAGCAAACTGGCAATGTAATAATATAAGCTTCACAGCAGAAATGTAATTCTTTAGGAGCAAGGTGACTGAAAAGCAGGAACGCACAAAGAGAAAGTACACAAGTGTGGGATGCTCACGGGGTCATGTAAGGACGTTGGATTGTAAGTTGTGTGTTCGGGCTGAAACACTGTGAGGAACACGTAGATATATCCACACATTTTTTAATTGTCTATATTTATTTTGTTTTTTAAATATTTTTTAAAGTGGTGTTCTATGAAAAAGTTATGCTCAATAAATATCTTACCTGTTGTAGATAGCGCTTTAAACGACCTCAGTTTGGAGGAATAAAGTATAATTTTGACCCGATAGACGCTAAAACATGTCCCGTATGTAATTATAGACAGCAACAAAATGTTGAGGTTTATTTCAAAACTAATTGTGTTAAGTCCATGTAACCAAATGGGATGGTTTTCCTGAATAAAAACTTAAACTTGAGTTGACTTGTCAGACAGACTGAGGTAACAACAAGTTTCAGGACTTTAGGACCATTTTACGTGTGACACATTCTGAGTTGATTGCAGCATGGTTGATGTTAGTGTGCATTCTGTAAATCAGTAATAAATACCGGTAAGTTAGAGATCAATTACCTTTTAGCTTGTTCTGTGCTGGCATGTCTTTACTGTGAGTCAAACGGTGCTTTACCACTGTCTCAACTCTCCTCGGCTCTGCACAACTCGACACCAGTTAAGCTCCACCCCACCCAGCTCAGTTTATGGAACCACCTTGTTCGAGGTTCCAAGTGGGCGGCTCCGAGGGGCCGATATTGACGTAAGCAGAGGGCACCCATTGATTGACCAGCGGAGCTATGTCATTGGATGACCAGCACAGCAAAACTGAAAACTACATTCCAGCTTCCACTTTTTAATTCATCCTTTATTTATACAGGTTAATCCCATTTTTTAAAACAAAGAGTGATGACAAGAGTAGAACAACAAAGACAACAAAAGACAATCGTAAAGGGTGCATACAAATTGAGAATAACAAGTGAAAATAAAATGGTATATAAAAGAAGATGTAACAAAACAAAAAAAAAAAAACAGCTAGGTTGTAAGGTGATGTAGAAAACTAAAAACAGGAACATGTCTGCATTGGTATTTCCCAGGAACTTAACAGATGTTTAAAGACACTTAGAGAAGTCAAGGTCAAGAGCTTCAGATCTTTTTGTAAGATATTCCAGGAAACAGGAACAGAGTAGGAGAAAGTCCTTTTGCCTATTCAGTCCGTACTGAGGGAAGACTGCAGGTAATAATGTCCTGAGAGCGCACGCTGTAGCTGCACTCACGTAGAGACATGTAGGAGGAGATGGATGAAGGCAACAAACCAGGAAGTGATTTTAAAATGAAAATGCACCAGTGGGAGAGTCTGCGTGAAGTTAATGATGACCAGTTAACCAGTGAATACAGAGTGCAGTGGTGGGTACGGTAGTTACAGCCTGTTATGAATCTTAATGCACCGTGATAGACAGCATCCAACATCTGCAGGGTGCTTATACAAGCGTTCATGCAAATAAAGTCACTGTGGATGGGAAGAAATGATGCAGTCACACTTCCTCATTGTGTTGATGGACAGCACCACAAGAAATTAACATATTTACTGAGAGATATTGGAGAGGATGGCTACCCCCAAACTTAGATACAGTGCAGAGATAAGCTAACGAAAATCAAGGGGTGGGGGGGATAGCAATTTGTGATTGTGTGATGTTTTTGTAAATGTCAATCAATAATACCCCTAAAATGGACATTCTTCTCAGAAACCACAGACACGGCATCCTCCGTACTAAAGAGGACGGGGAACATCTGACTTGTTATCAGCGCACAGTTCAAAAGCTTGCCTCTCTGATGATATGGGGGTGTATTAATGCCCCTAACATGTGCAGCTTACACTTTTGAAAAGGCACCATCAATGCACAAAAGTATATACAGGTGTCAGAACATCATAAGCTTCAATCTAGCAAAAAAAAAAAAAAACTCCAGCTAAGACGATTCAAGTCCGAACAACAAGAATCTTATATTAGACAAAAATCAGATGTGCACCTCTTAAACCTCCAGCAACTGGTCTCAGTTCTGGTGTTTTCTTTTTACAAGATGCTGTGTTATAAAGGTAAACATGGCCCTGAACAAAACTTATTCAGAATCGTATTGTACACACTTTTGTCTGTTGACTGCTCAGGCTGAGCTTGACTGTTGGACAGGACTGAGGCTGAGGTGAGTGTAGTGCCGTCAATACTTAACGATTTACCCTGACTGCTCCGATACTTGGCTCATTATACGGATCAGGTTACCAGCTACGCTCGACTGGTTCACATCAGCTAGTTTCCTACTTGAAACAGTTTAATAAACCTTCTGATACTTAATTATGATTGGCACAAGCCAAATAAATATTTCTCCCTGGAAATTATGTTGAGCTTCGTGTTCTTTCACACATTGCAGAATGAATCCAATCAGTTCCTCACAGTGGGCAAAGCAGAATTTTAATTAAGAGGGGGGAAACAGCGTTTGTGTCAGATTGGTATCAACGGGGGGAGAGAGAGATCTGTATACATCTGCGTCTACTTCCAAGTAAGTGGGTGTTTGTGTCCGTGAGCATAAAAAGGAAAGATTTGTTCATTTCTTATTGATTCCTGACATAACTCATCAGTCTCATGACGACCTTTCAGTGTTTGGGAAATCAATACACCGATATCTTGCTTTAAACAACACTTTTATTTATCTCTGACAGCCTTGAACGGTTCATCTGTATCAAGACACTTATTCACACGTTTTATTCACACGTTTTAACATAATAGCTACAGTTTGTGCTTTTTGTTCATGGTTTGTTTGCCAAGCCTTATCTTCAACGCAAATAGAAAGTCACAGCCTTCAAGACACAAAAACATTCATGTAAACCGAGTTATTTCGGCTGCTGTTTACCAGCGTTTCGTCATTTGTTGTGCCAGCAGATCAGACCCTCTCGAGACCAGAGTCTGCCAGCCCCATCAGCATTGTGCTTATGTCTTACGAGTTGCTCGATATTACAATTTTAATGGAGTTTAAGTTTGAATGGACAAAAACAATCTGCAATATTTTAAAAAATATTGTGTATTACTGTGTTTTTTTTTGGTAATCGGCTATATCAAAGAGAAATTAAACTAAAACGTGTGATCGTAGATGAAAGTTGCTTACAGGCAACAGATCCTCCAGGCACCAACAGATCTCATGAGATGCTGTATTAGATTGTGAATAATGTTATTTTCAAGGTTTGACCAAAATGACTAATCTAAATGTCTGGCATGAAAGGCAGCAGGTATTTTCACGTTTTCAAGGAATGCTGGGCTTGTAATTTTTTGATGACTCAAGGTTGAAACAAACATTGCAACAACATCCTTAAATTTGTCACATTTTACCTCAAATCCATCAATTTTGTTCTGCTGCAACAACCACAGACAATTAACGATGAGAGAATTCACCATGACGGTACAATAAGAAGGCAACGCCACGATTCATGGGGCTCAGATTGAGGCTGAGTGGTTCTGGGCAGCATGAGACATCATTTTCACACGTGGACTGGTCACCAGAGTCACAA